CATCATTATCAACATTATCATCATCATCATTATCATCATCATCATCATCATCATTATCGTCATCATACACGTAATCGACAAGAAACATCATTCGAGGGCATCATCGAAGCTAAGACCGAAACAACGTGGGAAGGCAAAGCATTTCAGTATTTCTTTCCCATATAACATTATTTCTGTGTGCGAACACTGTTTGTATTGAATAATCCCTGTGGAAAACTTTACAAATAGCAAGTTTAAACAATAATGATACCAGTTTCTTAATACCCAAGATTCCCTTTGTTCGTTCGTCATCATTTTGAGCGCGACACGTCCTAGCGATCATGTTTATCAATTTGGATTTAAAAATAACATTTCRTTTCAAAATAAGGTAAGATTTACTGCTTTAATTAAGTAAAAATGCCAGAAGCGTTTACTCCGCCCATATTTTTCAAAAAAGCGACTAAATTAAAACCATTACAGGCATATTCAAATATGATATATTAGATGTATTAAGTGGAGTATATTTTCCAATGTTATTGTTGTTAGTAGCTGTTATATGTTACTGTTATCGTAAATGATCACAATGTTACCATTCTTTGTTGCCTTTAATTATTATTGATATTACTATTACATCAATTCAGTATGATAATTACAACGAGTATATTTAAAAAAAAATAAATCGACTATATTTTACGAGGGTAACACGTGACAGTAAAGAACTGATGAACTTGTGGCCCTCACACTCACACTCACTACCTCTACACTAATTATTTTAGCACACAACACTTCTCACATGTTGATTTTTACTTTGATATATTTGATATATTTGTTTTTACTTAGTATGGTGTTATGTAAGTTACTTTAATTTTTCATTGTATCAAAGCTATTTACTCAGAAGAAAAATGAATAAATGAATGAAGAGTTGAACTAAATGAATAAAATAATGAAYTTTCGTATGTATATTCTTATCGCTCACAATACCAAATTACAATATTTTATTATCATTCAGGTTTAGCTTTCTAATTCTATAAAATGGTTCCATGCTGATCCGACARGAATCATAAAAATTCATACAAAGTCATGCTTYACTTTAATGGAATAAAAAAACAGCTCMAAAAATCAACTGCCAAATGACACGAACGTGTGGGGACTTCATGCAGGTTTGAAATAGTGAATTTATTCAAAACAGCAGGAGAGTTAGAACATTGTCTTTAATTCAACTGATAAAAACGGTTTGCTGCTTTGAACTTGAGTTTTAATAGCTTAATTAAGTTTTTTTTTTACAGTTTGTAATTTATACTTTCCTGAAATCCGTGGCTGAAAGTTGCGGTTAAAATATACGCCTTTCGCGAAATTAATATCTTCAAGACTATTTATTGATTTAACGCAAGATACTTTGAAAAATGGTCTTTACATTATTAAGTTTAGTCTGGTAGAATAAATGTCACAATTCACGAATTTCTTTAAAGCTCAGKTTTGTTTTTTGCTCATTTTCTTTCGTATTTTTCCATTTGAGTACAACAGAGTTTGAAACCAAAACGGCTCTCTAAGGATGAATTTTGATTAGAAAATTCGCGCTGAAAGTGTACGAAATGAACTTTAATCTTTTTCGCATTGAGTTTTTCGCTCGTAACTCAGTTAAGTCCATATCAGACTTCTTRAACTATAACATAATACTCAAAGACCAATAGAATGTTCGTTTCTCTAACCTTAAGTTCTCCTGATAAAATCTAAAGTACTTCAGCTCAAACCATCACAGTTTTCCAACATTGAGCACGCTCTCTAACCGCGGAGCGTCCACCTCCTCTAGTAAAACTGCCGCGACGTTTTAAGTCATAGTCCTGTAAGGAAAGAATTTCATGAGTGATGTATTTGGCMTGGTACTTGAGATGGTCTGATATTTTCATTGAATTCCAATCGATGCGTCAATCTTGGGATAAGGTACTAGGTATCCCGGCAACTTGTGATAGTAACTCGCAAATATATAATCCAAGAGTAGCGATAAGTGTAATGGAAAAAACAAGTTATGTCATTKAGTTGAAGTGTAAAGATATATAGGTTTGTTTGTATAAGAAGAAAGCATTTTCCTTGCCTTTAGGTATCTTGTAATTACATTTAATCTAATTTTCACAGCTGGTAATAGCCTTACTCATACTTAGTGTTCTAATGATTTCATCGTATAAATATTGAGCTGAAATTGGATTGAAAAATTGGATWATTTTCTCGATTTGAACACAAAAAACAATTTTTTTTCCGTATTTAAAAACGAAATATCCAAGCTTTTTTTATTGCATATAACTTGAATTATTATAACCTCAATTATATCAAAAGTAATATCCTCATYAAGTACATCCTCTTGCCGCTGGGTTTCCGATYGTAAAATCGTCAGAGCTTTCGGATSACGTTCGGAGAATGTTCGGACATTCGGTTCAMTCTCGTYGATTCGAAGTGAGTTAGCACTTTGAAATGTCATGTATCAAAAGGATATAATTCACAATCTYCTCGAGGTACTTCTAGTAATTGGTGTCAATACATTAACCTATTTTTTCATATGATCAAGTATACTTGTATGTAACTCTTAGCGTGTCATTTTGAAACCGATGGCTTAGCGTGACGTCTCGAAACAGATGGCTTAGCGTGACATCCGCGTCGCCTRTRTCTTGTCCYTYGTAGKYACAGGAATAYCGCSAATGTCWCGAACAAGYAAAKCTAGTTYTGATAGTTTATCTTACTCAACGGTCGCAGTACAATGCAATACAGAGGTGTCCGTAATATAGAGGTGTCCGTAATAAAGAGGTGTCCGTAATGTAGAGGTGTCCGTAATTAAGAGGTGTTTGTAATGTAGAGGTGTCCGTAATAAAGAGTTGTGTTCGTAATATAGAGGTGTCGGTAATATAGAGGTTTTCGTAATATAGAGGTGTCCGTAATATAGAGGTGTTCGTAATACAGAGGTGTCCGTAATATAGAGGTGTCCTTTTAGGAGTGTCCGTAATAAAGAGTTGTGTTCGTAATATAGAGGTGTCGGTAATATAGAGGTTTTCGTAATATAGAGGTGTCCGTAATATAGAGGTGTTCGTAATATAGAGGTGTGTTCGTAATATAGACGTGTCCTTTTAGGAGTGTCCYAAATAAAGAGGTGTTCGTAAATATAGAGTTGTCCATGTAGGAGTGTCTGTAATACAGAGGAGGTGTGTTCGTAATATAAAGATGTTCGTACTATAGAGGTGTCCTTTTAGGAGTGTCCGAAATAAAGAGGTGTTCGCACTATACAGGTGTTCGTACTATAAAGGTTTTTGTAATATTGAGTTGTCTCTAATGTACTGGTCTGTCCTTTGCATTCGATGTCTAATCTAATGTCAGGAAACCTTGTCTTGCTTTGGCTCCCTCAAGTAAGAATCACAAGTTCTCCATCTTTCCAGATATTTCTACATATTTTCAGCCATATTAACCATGCGTTATCCCATTAAAACACTATTTTGTTTTTCTTTTATGAATTCTTTTGGGCAAATTGCCGATAATTTTTCCTTGTGGCACTAGACAGAAGCYTCTACTTTGAAACCCTAGTAACTTGGCTCAGGGTTTGAATTTGTAATTTTTCATTGCCACGTGATATTAAAAAGTCTAYGAMTTGAGCAGGAGAGTATACACCCTACAAGTTCCTAGGTATTGAGTTCTCCGCACTTGACGTCAAATTCATTCTTTTGAATTTTTTACAATACAAAAGGAATTAAAAAGAATAAATTTGACGTCAAGTGCGGAGAACAATACCTCGGGACTTATTAAAAAGGGTGTTTGATACCTGTTCTGACCTCCAAGGTGGTGAATGTATTCATTGAGCTAGGTTAGTAAAAGTTAGACCCAAACTGCATTTTATGAACAATAGTACTAGTATATCTAAAGCGTTTTAATCGAAAAAACTTTATTAACATTTGAAATGATAGTGGGCAGCAGTTATGTTTATCAGCGTACATAAAGGAAAGGGCGATGTTACCATGACAAGAGTACTAATGATATCACGCGCCTTGGGCAAGAATAAAATAATTATTGTAATCAATTGTGGTCGATAGTAAGATGTTATTTACATTGGTTAGATTCGCAAGAAGATATTAACTCAGAAATAACGAGAAAATAATGGTTTCTGTTATTGCGGACTTAATGTTCACAATACATCCAAAATAATGTAYATAAGGGGCGGATTTTTTATCTTTTCATATGTTTTGAAGTGGTAAAATCCAGAAAGATATAGAAATGACATAAATTAAGGGTGCAGTTTGAAACGTTTTTGTTAAGTGTCGACTGTGGGGGTTACTTCTACTTTAAAATCCACGGAAACGAGTTGGAGTTGCTGAGAAATGACACGTACTGAAAACCCAAAAAAATATCGTTAGCCGTACGGGTTTTTGGAAAAGCTTAGCCAACGAATTTAAATAAGTAACTATGGGTTGCCAGAAAGCTTAAACGTTATAAAATGCTTAAAAAAGGTAAATTATTAAACGCGGCAAAATTGCAGGAAACGTAGTTGCCGTTTTGGACGTATGGTGGTTCGTGTTGAATTGCAATTCATGTATTTAATGCACAATTRATTATGTTTCATTGGAAGTAGCTACAGATCACACTCTAGTTTTACGCTAGTTTTGTATCCTTAAACTTGAAGCTGTTGAAGAGCCTTTCTTTTCATGGTAATTAGTATATTTACCTTTCTTAAACTTTGGAGTTTTGACAAAATTCGCTTTGGACGTGATTTAATTTTTATACTTCAATTAAACGTTAGCAAAAGCTGATTTTGAGGTGACCGATTAAGTTAATTCCAAAGTAATACCTTTGATTAAAGATAGATATTTGCACGTTAAATAGAAAAGGCGAAACGCAGGGTTAAGAACTAGGATTTAGAATTTTCCTCAAAAAAAGTTGCTGTCTTACCTTTCAAAGTCAATGCCATTTTTTGCGTGTTTTTGAATATTATTATTAAACGCTGTTACAAGARTATGCGTTGTGCASTGCGCATGCGTAAAATATCTCTCACGTGATCTATTTTGTTTTCTATYATGTTACAAAGCTCTTYTCCATCAAGTAATWAGCGGRTTTYCTATGAGAGGYCTMTTGTTTTGTAATTCAATAAGTATTTCATCGCGAGAACTGATTGCAGCAAGCTGGTTTGTTCTATACTTCAGACGACAAAACATCTGTAAGTACAAATATAATTTACAATTGATATGTTTTTAATTATTAGGTTGATGCTGGATCAAATTCATTAAAATTATGTTAGTACTTTTGCTACTTGGTTTTCGCTGTAAACGAGGAACTTCCTCGTCCTCGATGTGTGAGATATACTATTTTCCAGAAATATCGAAACCAATGACTTTATTTGAACTCTTCGTCATAGAAATAGAGGATATTACATGGGCACGCGGAGATACGGATTTTATCTTCGAGTGTTGAAAAGATCTCTCACGAGTGAGCGTATGTTATTTTCACTAGTCAAAATATCAATTTTACGTAATGGAGAAATATAGGTATTTCATAGATAATTATATGATAATTATTATATTAATTATATGATAAAGCAATATATTATTAATAAAATTAGTATGGTATTATAATTTAAATATTGTCAGTCATGGCTTTCTTAAGTAATATAAACGTATCAGTTATGGCTAGTTTCAGGCGAAAAATAATCGTACTTGATTACGCTCTAAATATGTACATATACAAAATTAATATGCGCAGTTCTCGCAGCCACTTGTCTCATGACATGCTTCCGATACGATGAAGATATTAATTTAATTGGCAAGGTGTCGTATTCAAGTTTAGCTAGTCTCATAGCGGCGTAAACAAGCTGCAAATGAATCAGCAGGCCAGCCTGTTGCAGCGTTCAATTAATGTCTCACGAAAAGAAACAAAATCCATTACGATCTGACAGTTTGACATATAGAATGACAAAAAACGAGTCCGAGGAAGGATAACATCGTAAAATCCAAAATTTGGATTATAAACGAGACGTTGTTCAACAATATTTCGGTTTAATTCAGAACCATAATCATGTTAATTATTTTACAATTTTGCAATCGTATTTAAAACAAGTTTAATTCTCTAGAGGCTTTCAAGCCGTCGTTAATTCCCGGGCGTAAATTCTTGATGTAATAGGCCTCGAGGAATTCCAACCGGGACCAGTTGTCACTCGTGTCAATGACWTCAAAGTTCCCGTGAACTGCATTATAAATATACGCGAAAGAAACAAGCTCCTAGAATAGTTATTGAATGGRTACTTTATGAACTGATTTTTCTCATTTTTTTCTCGTTTTGTCCGGTCGCAGAGCGAAGTAATATACTGTTGAAATGCACATTGTAACGAGTTGTCGAGAAATTYATTACGTAATTAGAGTATTGATSCGAAAGAGGTTGCGAAAAATTGAKMTGACATCGATTTGACCYTAATTCCACGAAAAGTAGTACTGATTAACAGGAAGGAAAATCAATTTCGAGACAGCKCTAGTTATACAATGGAATTCTCTAGCAKAATGTCGCCGTTAAGAGACAAGTTACTGAAAATTCTACTCACTGTGACAAGCACCTTAAAGAAGGATTATTTTTTGCTAATTATATTAAAGTTCTAAAAAACACTAGCAACTGAGAAATCATGTTAGAAGTTATGTCTTTTTTTCTTAGAAAATATAATATAGAATTCTTTCGATTCCTTGCTTTCCTAGTCAAGAAAAGGAAWCTYAAAATGTTTCAGAAACGTAAGCATGGCAATGGAGATCGGCTTCACGAGCGCCATGGATCATAATTTCTAAGTCCGCAGAGAACTCTGGGAGATTATTTTGAGGGAGGCTACTAAGCCMTAGTCAAAAATAGATAAGGATTATAGTTACGCGTGTTCTTTGTAGCGATTATCATGGGCCGTTATCGATATACAGTGCAAAACACATAGACGGATACGTAAGTATACTAATACGTTTCCGTGGCGTTTCCGTAGATGGTGTTTTCGTAATACTATTTAAGTAGAACACGATTCATGAGGCATGGAGTGGACCGCGGATACACTAGCACTRTGTGCTTCCSTGCGTTTTTGTATTGATGATAGAAAACGATGCGAATACGCAAGGAAGCGCGGAAGCGCAGCCATGTGGACGGAATCGTAGAAAGAACGTCGCCGTCCAACTCTTTTGAATGGATGACTCCAAACCCCAAGTCTGTTTGATGGCTCACCAGTGCTTGYGGATATTATCTAATTACAATTGACTCAACAAATGGTAGGATTTYATGGCTCCTTTCGGGCTGTCGTCGCGGCTAAAGTCTCTATACATACAAGTCTAATTAACGTCCTGAATACAAGTAGTACAATGGTCAGAATAGTAACTATTGTTTTGATAAAATGTATGTTTTTTGTGGAGAAGCCGCCTTTAGACAGCGCGTCTTAATTTATTAATGTCGTTACGTATTTCTACAGACATTTTATTTTGTGGTTTGAAAAGTTATGATTTTTCAAACGCAAGAATTACATGACAAACCAAGCTTTTGTTTGAACCAGTYTGGTAYAAAAKCGATTTTTAAAACTTAATTCTTACTTTTTTGATGGTATTGAGTACCGTCAAAATTGTGAAAATATTGGCTGATTTCACGGATAGTTAGCGATAAGTTCMAACGTWAAGGTTTTATGGAAATCCCCCTGAAGAAGTTTAAGTTGAAAATGTAGATAAATTTTCCCTCCCGCGGTGTTTTGGTATTTTTTTAACTTGTTATTCTATATTCTTGTGAAAAATTAATAGTTCCATYTATGCAAATGACTTAATTTGTCTTGTGTGTCATTTGAGCTTTACAACCTTTCGGAATRTCATTCGWAATAWACGWTYGAACCGCCATCTTGAATCACAACCCGTTATGGCGGTCAAAATGTCAAAGTTAAAGATTTTCAAGTAATCTACTGAGATAATGTTCCGCACATACACACAAAGGGAAAAACAGAGTGGAAACTATAAATTATAACAATAAGAATTTTGTTTTTTATATATATTTTTAACGGTCGTGAATTAAAGAAGATTTCAMGGCCTSAAACTYAACTGCAAGTGCTTGTGACCTTCGGGTTGTTTTTAGCTCGAGTTATTAATGCTACAAAGTTTTTATAAGCTCGAGTTCTCTATGCTAGGACCGTATAGTGTACGACTTAAAGTATTACCTGTTTTAGTTGAGAAAAATCTTCATAAGCTCAACTTCTATTCTTCTATTGTGAAATAAACGGTTTTKCTTCATTAATATCAAATCAAGAACCTCTTTAGCTGGTTTTCTAAACCTTCCTGGTGACAAAGGTCTTGTATCATAATGGTATTCAGTGTTGATTATAAAGCGTTTTTTTTAAAATTAATCAGTAATCTTACCTTCGTGGTGAATCATAAATGATTAGTATTCTGTGCTTTCATTCACTTCACAACAGCTCAACACGTCAATTGTAAGGCTAGCGAAAGGAACATTACGATTGAATCTACTCAGCACGTTTTTACTGATTTCTAGAATTAAGTCATTAATGAATTGAGCCGTTGCATTGGGCCAATTACTATTCTCAATTTCACTTCAGTCAAAATAGCATGTTTTGATACGGTAAACTGATTTTTCACTCTGGCTAAATTGCTTCAATCATTCAATAGTTTTAGAGGTTTACATACAGCCCCTGACTAATTACTAATTCTCACTTGTAAATCATAAATGATTTGTACTTCTTTACCTTCAACAAGCTGCTTTGAATAGATAAGCCGCAATAGTATTTTCTAGCAATAGTTACGTTCCTCTGGGATTGTAATTCAACTGCCAATTTAAGGTGAATATTTGATATGAAATTCTGTGTATTTTGTGCAAGAAAAACTATCCAAATTTCAGAATTTTATACAGGTAAACTGAAAGAGCTAATAAGTAGTACAGAAGATAAAACAGAACATACAGTTGTAATTTTAACTGCTCATGTTTTATTATATTTCTTGTCTTAAAGTCGTCGCTCCTTCCTGATACAATCTACTTATAAAGTGCCTTTAATCTAAGATAAGTCGATAGAGTCGGTTTTTCCGCCAATTATTCTAGTAATATAATATATAAAGTCAGTTTTCAATTATCACCTAAATGTACTTGTTATGTTTCAGGCATTTAGTCTAGTTTGCAAGGCGGATACCYTTTCTGAGGTAGGAGCAATAAAGGGGATTAAAAATATGCCTTAAAATTGATTTCTCGTTAAATTAAATGGAGTACTCACTTATCTTGTTAGAAATGTTAATATTTCTTRAAGCTTTCTTTTGTTCAATAACTAAATTATTATAAAATAGAGAAATTGCCTGCAACTAGTACGYAAACAACTTAGTCYTGYGAAAATGAATTCTGTACCTSTAGGGGGGAGGGAAAGGGGMTACAATCCCTTATCTCTTRCCCTAGAGGTCCAATCTCTACAGCAAGAACAAAACGCTACGAAATCGTATCAGTGCGTASCAGATCTAACGTTTACGTAACGTTTTTGTATTGTTTTCCATTCCCTTGAGAACGGATACAATAGAAAAACGCTACGAAAAATGCATCAGCGCGGACGAGCACTTACGTTTCCGTAACCGCATTGCATTAGTTTCCATTCCTTTGACGACGAACAACGCAAAAACGTTACGCGAAAACGCATCAGTGTTGATGAGGTCTGGGCTCRGTGGATTAGAAACCACAGCTCTATATATCGCATGAGTTGTTCTATGGTACCGACCACGTCTTTGCATGCAGTCGTCCCAAGAAAATTATCTCCAAACATCGCCTAATTTCTCGTAATTTCTCAGAACTATGTCAGTAGGATAATTATTCAAGCTTATTATTCTCCTGGGGTTTGTGTAAYAATGCACACAGGACTTCCTACGAGGAAAAACATTATGTGGCCTTGATGTTGGCTATAATCTATAAAACCTAATTAGCTTTTCGTTCTAATATTTGGGGCTGAAAACTTATAACATCGCCAAATATGTAGAATCATTTTCGCTTCCATTGCTAACATGTCCTTCGGCGATATCGTCGAATTGGTGAACGAATTTTATGGCGTGCGTTTATTAGAGGTACTGTACGTTGTTTTTAGTATTTTAATACAAATTTGGATSTAGTTGATTTTTACATCTTGTGGTTTAGAATTTGCTTCGTTTGAACGTTAGAAGTGTTGTRAGTAAGTAGGCTCAATTGTTGTCTTTTGTTATTTACCAACCACGACAAGCCCAGCTAAAATTTAAAGCTTTTTTCTTTCAAAGTCAAATTATTTTTAGTGAAAATTTTTTGAAGCACTGCAATGTCAGCAAAATATATAACAAAAAAAAATGCATGACGAATCGATTTTTTGAAAAGAAAATTATCTGAAAACTGTTCATGATGATGTACAACTGCTGAGTTTAAACGTTGAGTTTTGAAAATTGTATATTCCAATACCAAAATGATTTGTTTATCATGGTATGACTTCTAAAAGGAGGTTTCATTCGATTATCAAGTGACTGGAAATCAATTTAGTTCAGATTTGTTATTTGTTATTTGTTATTTCTAACGCCACTTGCATAATTTCCAATAGATTTCTGAACCTTTTACGTCACTACTTGATTTTCAATGCATTGTGGGATCAGTTTCTAGACTAAAACAAATGAAATCCGCCATGTTCTGTCCCAAACATATCCCACAATGCATTGKGTAAAAGCTCAGAGGTCTATAGCGACAATGCACTTCGGTCTTGGGATACGCTYTTCGCTATGACTGTATTCAGTARTCAACGCTTTTTGAAAAAGCTGTATATTTTCGTCTCTACTTTGATATTCGCGGATCATGTTTGATCATCGCTTTTTATGACGATCTATTTTGATGAAGCACTTCGCACACATTGGAATCAGTTGTTTATAGGAATCAATATTTTTGTGGGTTTGTACAAGCGTGCATCTACATCTACATCTATGTTTATTTTAATTTAAGCGTTGTCGATTTACGCTTTCGCATCAAGCCGATGCGCAATTATAAAACATTTTATTTGAAATTCAGAAAACAGTAACTTACATATATATTTACTCAAACAACTACAGTATTTGGTCAGACAACGCTTAATTTGAAACCGTTCATGGTTAAGTTTYGTGATTCCTTTTGGTTGCTAAGCAACAAATGACGACGTCATCAATTTGTTCACGTCATGACAATCATAAAAGTCGAGGATTAGATTAATAGAACTTGAGAAATTTCGATAAAGCGATACGGAAACTCTTAAAACACTTCAAACGGGTGGGCAAATCGACAATTTGAAGGATAATAAGTGTGTTTTTTTATCATAATAAATGCCTCTTTAGTTGTTATTTTTGATCTCTCGTATGCTCAAGTGTTATTGCAAGTTTCATCGGTCTTGTACATACATTGATATCGCGCTAGATAACAAGCTAATACATTGTAAATACAGCAAAAATCTGCTTGTAAACGCTCCTATTAATTGTGGCTGTGATACAGAATCGTTTCGTTGTTAAGTTTGAAAGTATTTTGCCTTAATAGTCACTCCAGATCCCCAGGAAGTCCATGCAAGCATCGAGTCTTTATTAATATATATACAAACAAATCTATTAGTTTTTTACTTGAAGTGTTGTTGATATTGTATTGTATCTTAAGTTATAATTTCAAACAGGTCTTCTTAGCCTCAGGGACAACACCGATCAATGTTTCTTCAAGCTAGTAATTCAATGCTCGATGCCTGTTTGGGCTTCCTGTGTCTAAAGGAAGTCAACGAAGACCAACCCTGTGCAAAARCCCAAATAACCTGTGAAGTTAAAACCGTATTAGCGCAGCAAGACCTTAAACAATCTAATCTATGGCTATTTTAGCTATTACATGTTGAATTCATTACATTAATCATGTCATTATGTCCATGAGATAATGACYCGGCTTTTCCAGGGTCGTTAATGTCATAATTCGCACTGTAAGACGTGATTTGGAGAGATTAGTTTACTAAGTAATGTGTAGTATAAGACTGCTATTCTGTCATCATCATCATCATAATCAAGGCCGGMCCACACTCAACCAGTCTTTAGCCTTTTACATTTCTAAAACAGGAGCGTCCAAATTACAAAAATATCATATGAAAAGTTTGTTTATCTTCCCGCRATATAAACAACCCTTTATTATTGACTTTATTATTAGTTTCTATTCAAAGACCACTTGGTATGACTTAACTTTCATCGGTTTCCCACTGGCTACCATCCATTGAAAATAACACGCCTAGACAATAACGTTTAGGCTTTACAGAATTCGCCACAAATGACCAGTAATGACCACTGATAACTGTCGCTGTTTTTGATCGAATGTAAACATGGCTTCTGCTGCTAAAACGTGATGTGTTCTTGTACAAAAAGTTGGTTTAGTTAATGATGAAGTGTCATTGTTTTTGATATGCTGTGATTTCGATGAAGAAATCAATTTTGGACTTGCGAGGGGTGTRGAAGAGTTTCACAGAAATCCTTTTGAATTCCAATGTCTTTTTGGTTCAAAGAGATGTGTCTACCAGAACTACCTACCTTAGATTTATACCAAACGTTGAAYAAACATTAATTTKACTTCTTTTAGGTAATGTGAAACTTTCATTTTGAGTCTTTGCGCTCTTTCTAAAAAGACCTCTAGATTACGGACACCCGTTATAATATGGATGCTCTTCTACGACCTTTRGTTATTTGTGAGATGGCGGTTTTACAGTTAACTGAAATAACTTGTATAGAACAGAAGTATGATCACCCTAATGCAAGATGYAATGGTTAATGRGACTTCTGCCTTATTTTTAGCGTGCTCTAAATCTTTTATTTTCTTAAGTTTATGTTTTTGTTTAAGAATAGTCAATTGACTTACCTGTAAAATATGTCTTTTCTAGTCGCGTTCTTTTGTTYGCGTTCAATCTGAGTTAGAAAAAACCATGTATGAATGCCRMTAGAAAATKCAYAGACAGCTAAATCCACTTACAACCCACATATAGATACAAATTGGCGGTAATGAGTCKAATAAGTGGTAGACCACCAGCCACATTTGAAGTACTTAATAAATYCAATCCCAAGTACTGTCCGCAGTCCTTCGCGATGTTTCTGTTCGTTACATGCTGTGGTTCGCGTAAGACTTTTTATAAAGGTCGTACCTCACATGTGCAGACTTCAAAACAAATACTATCGTACTTGTCATCTTATTTGCATTAAATTCTGCACGTGTGAAGTGCGGAGTATAAATTAGGTCTGAGTCATCCCTAAGGCCATAGACAGAAGCCATAACGTATGTAAAATATTTGTTATGTCTGATTTTTCTTGTATCTTCAAATAAGGAACGTTATTTACAAATATTCTTAGCAGAATTCTCACCGCAACATGTTCAGTTGAACAGAGGAWAAATGACCAGAAAATAGATATTGTAAACCTGGATGACTTATTAGAGATCTTTGTAAAGCAACGCGAAGGTTTGAATCTCACTTCTTAGAAATTCGGACTGATACACCTTATTAGTTTTAAGTTCCTTTGTTTTCTCTTGTGTCTATTGTACAATTTCCATCTGACTTGAGTTAAACGTATGTTACWAGTAGACTCCTCCGCTARKTAAAGGAAAAAAGAGGCCGGCGGAGAATGATGTCATAGCAGTATGATAGGTGGTCTGAACTCTTTTGTGATTGAAGTWCACCCTTGCATGTGACGTCAAATGAGGTCCATTTGGGATACTAAATAAAGACTTTCCCAGTTATTTTGTGGCAAGATGGGACTAAAAGTCAAGATTAGAAGCGATTTACTCTGATGAATGGTATAACTACTTACGCCGTCTTAGATTAAAGAGGGTGTCCTTTTACTAATGACGATATTCCAGGGATTAAGACTGTCGAATGAGTAACTTAGTGATTAGTTTTTCAAATGGCGTCTCTTCTCTCTAGTTGTCATAACATTACGATGTCTATGGACTCTTTTCATTGATTATGATGATGATGATGTTGTCGTTGTTGATGATATGATATTTCAAGTAGGTGATGATGATTCATTGTGGATTATTGTGGTTTGGTGTCGATGTTATGATGATGATGTGGTCGTTGATGATGATGATGAAATGATATTTCAAGTCGGTGATGATGATTCATTGTGGATTATTGTGGTTTGGTGTCGATGTTATGATGATGATGTGGTCGTTGATGATAGTGATGGTGATGTTTTTTTATAATGTTCATATTAGTGTTGGCGATGATGATGATGATGTTGGTCCCGTTTTAATCTGATAATACAATACTGCTTCTGTTATTGTTGAAGGCGATGATGCTGTCATTGCTAGCTATGATATCATCATCGTTGATCATGATGATGATGATGATAATGATGAGACCATTGTAGTTAAAGGTGATTCTTGTATTTTTTATTTAAAATGTTATTCAGTTGCTATCATTGATAATGTTTTCCTGATAAAGTTTTGGGYATGCCGTGATCGGCTGTTTACTATGTCAGCGATGATCTCATGACTGTTGCTGATCACCACATGATCTTGTKGAAAGTYRTCRATGTATTTAGATACAATCACAATAGGTGTTCCTCTTTCAACTATGGATTGTTTCTTAGGCTRAAGGCTCTATAATTAGTCATCCGATATCGACCGTTATCTCACAATYCTTCAATTAAGTCCACTTCCAACAGATTGAAATCAGATAATCAAYCAAAAAATCATCTTAAAACCTCCCACACTTWGARAACYAYGAATACTACTTRAAACGACGCAGTTGTGCTAATTACRAYAATTTAGCATGTCAAASTGTGCTTTSATATGAGTTGCTCAACATTGTTTACCTCTGMAGAACTTAAGGAGTYATTTTTAAAATCTACGCTGATGTTTTGATTGCTTATATTTTTTTGCTTCGTAAATTTAAAATTTAAAATATGATTTAGGTATATATTATTCAAAATACTAAACCCAGAAWGATTCTAGACCTGAGAATAAATAATTTCAATAATCTATGAAGTGATAGTTTTATTCATGTTCATTGCTCTTTATTTCCTTGCCTGGTGATTCGTGCATGTAACGAAGGGCTAAATTGCTGTGGTCTATCTAGAATGAGACACGAAGAATGCCTCACGAAAGCACGAACATGCGAATTTTTTAGCTTTTTGAGCGTTCTCTAAAGATCCCAAAGGTTTTCTTTTTTAGATAAGCCACAGGTAGCCCATCCTTTCTTTCTTTGATAATATAGAAAGCTTCCTTCCTTTGAAAGGAGTTACGTGAAATGGAACACTAACGGACCAATCACAAGCATGCGAGGTCTTTTCCACGAATCTTTATTAGAATCTTATTGCATCAATAATGTCACCTAATTTTCTCTTACCCTGGGCCCTTTTCATCGTTCAAATGAAGTTCGTTCAGAAAAAATGAATATTAACTTTCTTTTTCATTTTCTCGCCTAAAATTGCAGTATATCACTATTATGGTCCAAATGTTTTAGGTATAAAAGTAAAGCATTTCTTATATAATTCTAATCCATTTTGTGTAACAACTGATATATTTACTAAACGAATCTAATTTGTTTGTTATCGTATGGAATATAGGCAATTTACTATGTCTATGATAAATTTTGAATATTTGATGTGTATTGCCCTGTAAGTACTCGACAACTCATTTATGATAATTTTAGACCACAGTTTTAAGTCTTTGATACACATAAAAACGAGCTGTCAGTCACAATTTCTTTGTTATCCCGAAAATAAGCGAGAACAAGCTGTTCAACACTTGGAGATAAGCTAAAAGTATCCCATATTTCAGCATATCACACACTTTTCAGAACTGGTGATGAGACGTTGCTAATGAAAGCACTTTACTATGAATTACCCCCCAAAAAACGTCCACTCTGATTCGAAAAACTGTAATCTTCATGTGTATTTATATATTAGTAAAGCTAAGATGTTTTTTTATATTTTTTGAGTTCGTGGATCGATAATGCATTTGTATAAGTATCAATCAACAACATGAATTATAACATAGCAACATGAATAACTGGAATGATAGTCATTTTATGGAATTGATTATTGTAAAAACTTAAAATTTAATATAGAGAGGGGTTTTTAATAAATGAAGCTATTTTTGACGGCTAAATGGCTCTAGAGTGCGCGAAAGAAAATCGCAATGAACAGAGCATCAGATCATGGAAGATCCATAAAATAGATGGTTCATTTTACCTTAATCTAATTAATTAAGCTGTAATTTTGTAAGTTTAAAAATTAATCAGTCAAAAAAACCTTAACTYRGTACATTTTAAAGTTCATTATACAATTGATATTTTGTATATAACGCGCTCTTGGATTGGTCAAGAACAGCTCGTTATTAAGATACACATGCTTAGATGACGACATACAATCTTACGCGCTRTCTGATTGGTCAGAATCATTGCGCGCTCCTCTGTCTAAGCGWTCAACTTTTCAATYAATTACGGGCGCTTGGAAAGATTTAGYGGAAAATATGATTTGAAACAAATAYATTCTGTTTACAATGAGTCTGTACTTTGATTCACACAAGACAGCATAGTGTGACGAGGGAAACAATAACGATACTCGACTTCGTCTCGTGTCGTACTTTTTTGTTCTCATCACATTTTGGAGTGATATGCGTGTGTATTACAAGAGTGCAAGCGGAAACGGAAAAAATGGAATCTATTTGTGAAATAAAAGATAGCATTCAAAATTCAAATCTGTCCTTTCCAAAGCGATGAATAATTTTCGGCATTTGGTAACAATTTGTGGTTTTCTGACTCGTTAAGAGTTGAAAGATATAATTACGATCATTTTAAAGTAATTATATTGCGGTGAAAATGCTTTTGGCGATGTTGTCAGTGTGACATACAATTAATGATTGTTTGATGTTTCTGCGGGAAAGAAACCAACAGTTCACCATAAGCCGTGAACAAATGACTTAAAAACACAGTTAAAGACATRGCAAAGGTTTCTGAAAAGAATACTTTCATCTTACAAAGTATAAACTATGTTTTATCYGTGTTATTTCATTAGAGATGTGTTATATTAGTTGAGCCTCCAACATACCTGAAATGTTATCTCTTTTGCTTTGCAGAAGTGATCTCACCAATCGACTCCAACTGTTTGACACAGTAGTGCAAATGGCGTTCAGAAGARACTTGAGAATTTACTAGTAAAAGGTTTGTAAACAGCTTTCTTTTTTGATCTTTTTTGTTTTGTTTCTTCAAGAGAACTGTCCAGATTTTATTATAGTCTTCCAAGCTTAAACAGAGCGAGCCGACTAAAAACAACTGATTTTTGCCAAGATAGTTTGAAATATTTTATGTAATAAGTAGCTCAGTGTGACATTATTTCGACTTTAATATAACAATGATACCAGTAGATTCTCTCACTTAGAACATCCTGCTTTAGTGAGTGCTTTGTTTTGAAAATTGAACGGGATAGATAAAATAACTAAATGACTAAATGGATTTTGAAGTAGCGAAGAAGGAGCTTTGAAGTTTTCTGGTATGGGCGTTTGCTTTCATGATAACTGTATTTGAGGTAATATTTAAGAACTGATTAGAGCGATATCTATGTCTTCTTTGATTGTGTTGCCTGAATAAATATACTCAACACTRAATAAGTTACTTTATAGAAATACTTTTTTTATACCAAATCCACGCTGTTATTTCGAATCGATCTTATGCCTTAATTTATTCTGACAAGATAGTAGCCATTGAAGTGGACTTAACTAAGATGAAACACTAATCGGAAAAAAATGTAAACATTTTGAGCAAACCTGATGTTATAACAATTATATGAATACGAATGCATCGTGAATAGTTATTGGTAATTATAAAGAAATATAGAAAATGTTTCTTGGTATGGAATTCTTTTATTTATAGCCGTATCATTGTGCATGTATACGAGGCGAGCTATTTCCATTTTATATATTTAATAATCTCTATAGATATATATGTAAAAATTTTACGATCATGGATTCCTATCATGTAGATCATAATTATGTGGTACTAATTACTTTAGAATTGAGTAACTATGGCCTATCGCTAACATTYTAAATCAATTTGTTGTCGATCGATGTTTGGATTGCTACATGAAAAAAACCGCTCTTGTTCGATGATGATATCACGATCATGTCTTAAATGAATATAGATATTTGAAGATCTTAGAATGGTTCGAAGTCAAAGTTCCTATGCTTAACACACAGTTTCTCAACATTTGACGATTTGTTAGATAACAATTCGTAGTTTTAGACTTCAAGCCTAAATGGCTGCGAAAACCAGAGGAAACTTCAGAAAGCCTCGGGCCAAAATAATCCAAAGCACATATAAAGTCTAGGCAGGACACTGCTCAGCATCCGAGCGAGCACAACTGCTGTTCAGCCATCCTTACTGTTAAGAACATTCTTGAGAACTACTGCCGAAAATACGTCTTGAAACCATATCCGAATACGCTTTTCCGTTACTCGTGTGCCAGGCAATCACAATAAACATTCTGTATTTTCATGTTCATTGCGTTACCTGCAAAACTGTTTCGGAGCTCTTTCATTAATAATGCAAACGAGGTAAAAGTATTTTAGGTATGGTCACGTTGGTATCTTCCCGAGAACCCTGGGGTAAGTGTCTGTCACTTGTACCCGAGGAACGAGCTCAATGAATATAATGTCATGGCATGTAACCGCTGSCTCAGTATGCTGATTGTCAGTCTAGTGGGAGAAAGTTCAAGGTTGATCTGCGTCAAGTACCAGACGACTATCGGGCAATAAGAAAAAGATGGCTTAAAGTCCAATCACATCTATATGTGGTAAGGGCGTTCTTTAWAAACCTCTGTAACTATTGGATTTGTAGGACGTTTATTTGACCATTAAGAATGTTACAGATGTTACAAAGGCTGTGGCCAGCATCAAGGATTCTTGCCCGCAGCTAGTAATTGGGTACAGATGGTGCAAAACAGTCTAAACGAATCAACATGTGTAGGCACAACCCTTTGCAATGTTAATGTCGGGCCAAACTTGAAAAGAATGTTCATTTTTGGGGGATACATGTCAATTTGATTTTTTCACTGTTTTCAATTTGTTTCTCTGTTTTAGAGAAATTAAATGAAATRAATGTCTGTTCAGATTGCTAAAAACKCTATGTAGGGAACTTCATTACAACATTTCAGTCATCTTACGATCTTGTACAAGTTGAGATTCGTATCTCTCTATAGATTTTATATAGAAAGTAGTCTAGAAAGTATGTCACCTCTGAGGACTTGAGCGCTTCTAAGTCGAACCATCACATGTGTTTAGAGCTTGTGAGCTGSACATTTATCTCCTTTTCTTTCATTTGATGTTTCATTTTTTCATCTACTGTAAAAACTAATTGATGGCTTATAAGTTTGCAGACAGAATGGAGCCAATTTAGACAATTCACAGATAGCTTGTAAAGTTGTAAAACAACCAAAACATTTCTCTAACAAATAACGGTGCTTTGAAAAGTAAACGGTTCGTTGTGGATCGGACATGTTTGCTCATTCAAAGAGCTATTTACACCTTCAACGTTTATAAATCGTTCCGAAAGACACACATACGTGTCTTTCCGCATATATTACCAGACATATATTGCGTCACATGTGAGGGTATTCAATTTTAGCTGTCGAAGCACTTTTTTAAACGCCAATTTCAGGGATGTTTCTATGGTTATCAGGACTCTGCTACTTGGAGAAACTGATAAATCCTTGAAATCGAACCCACGCCCTCTCGTGTTCGCTAAAATCGACGTACAAAAAAACGGAATGTATCTTACACATAATTAATTCTATCAAAACTAATTTCATGGAGTAAATTAGAAATTCAAGGTAGAAATTGTGAGTTTGTGAGTTTGTGAGATGTTGCCTTAAGCTATATATTGTTTCCGACACAAAGACTGGTTGGTTTTGTACGTTTTATACTACTCTAATAACCCCCAAAGTTTAGCTAAAGTACTTGATATAGTATTTTTTATAAAGAGTAATTATAGTATAGCGTGGAGCCTTTCATCCCACTTCACTGTACAATTGGAAGATTTTAAATATTCGATAGAACAAAGTTGTAATACTAGTTTGTTTGGAACAAGGGGCTTGGTGCTACGACGACTAAAGACCGGCTGACACTGCGGCATAACCATGCTCAGAAAGGAATAGAATTAGGGATATGGCAGAAAAAAGGAAGGTGCTTTTCTTTCTCTTTATTTTCGACTTTAATTAACTTATACTTGGCCTTATGCTTGTTCTTATGCTTATGTCAATGCACGCTTGACTTCATTTTTCCCCTTGTTTTCTGCTTATGTCGCAGTGTGAACCAGCCTTTCAGTGATCGTCGTATTTACTCTAAACACAATTTTCTTTTCAAAGRATAGATACCTGGTCTTTGTTATGTAAACCTTTCTTCAGCCAATYAGAGAGCTTGTTTTATCTCATGTTAGATATTGTGATTTGTATCCAACCGAGACGAACTCTGGTAAATTCCTATGGATTTACACAGATGTGGAGAGATAGAGAAATCTGTTAAACATAAATATTGATTGTAAGGCATATATTCATGGTCTCAAACCGCTCACTTCAGTTGAATCGTATTGTAGAWTTATAATTGAAAAGTCGCTACCTACGGCGCTGTCACAGCAATTCRTAGTGACAGACCCGCTGCTGCGAGTCTAAACGCATTATAATACAGCATTGTAACACCCAAAAGCCTTTTTTTTTAATTCTCAAGGCGATGAAAAACCGTTGTATAGACTGTATCGCTTTGGTTTCGTTTTTAATTAACTGTSAATGAGGTGATAATTTGATATCTTCAACGCTCTCGTAATTATTATCATATATCTCTCTGTTTAAGCTGTTCTACATTTTTGACAGCGGTGTTGATCTGTTTGTAGGTTGAGTCACTGTTGMTGGAGCAGTTTGTTCTGGGGTTCCATATATCAACTGCTTGGCTTGTATCACGCCAATGGATCGTCTTCATAGCTTTGCTTTGGTTTTCTTGGGACTGTTGTTTAGTGGTATAGTTTGCGTCGCGATTACAACGAGTTCAGGTGAGTAGAATAGGGTAAACAGATCAGATCAGCGGGTCGTGAAATGCTCTCTTCTCTTTCTTCACAAACAAAGTACTTTTTAAATGTTTTGAGTACATATGATTATACAAACATGTCAGGAGCAGTTTGGATTAGTATTTGTTTTGAAAAGGATAAAAAAATAACTAAAGTAATAGGATTTGGGAAGGTTTAAGAAAGCCATTATTTATCAATGTGCTCCAATCGCTTCACCRTAAATGCCAATAAAATCSTRTCAAGAACAATGATTTTCTTATAGCGCTATAACAAACTAGGGCTCAGTAATTACTTAAAAACTAGGCAATTACTCGCTAGTCTATGAATGCTATGATTTCTTGATTGAGGTGAAAWATTCTTAGGAAAAACGCTCAGAAGCTCAAGACTAGACCTATAGATAAAATTAGAATTTATCCACACAGACAAAACCATATCAGATTGATCGTGTAAGGCTTTTTTGTTGTTGTTGTTGTTCTTTGCAAACCAGTGAAAACCAAACTGGTGCCGGTGTCTTTTCAAAGACGAAGCTACCCAGGTCTAGGACCATTATAATCAAAATTAGRCCAATCTTTTTATTTTAATTGAATTGGGTTCACGTAAGCCTCGACGTTTGAACGTCTGTACATATTCAGGGTTTGATGTATATTGTTCTTTGCCTTCAAAAGGAATCAAGTATACAACAAAACGKTATAGGGCGCAGTGGCAATAAGGCKATAACACAGCCCTACACTACACGTATATTKGTCTATGTAATCAAATTATAACTTAGCAAACATGTACACTTWYAAGCTCTGTTTATATAGCCGCTTGTACCTTCATACTGCATGATATACCGTCGTTAAACTATCTGCATATCGACTGTATTTCCTGTTATGTTATTAGAATCTGATTAAGCAGTAAATCTCAAAGCATAGAAATGAAAATGATAAACTAAGTTAATTAATTTTCCGTTATATTCGAGGCGGATATTGTGGAGGATGTTCAAAGAATGATAACAATGTTTTAATTTTAATTACTTGAAAGTGTAGCAAATTGTATCATTGTAATTAAATTTGTAATAATTTCGCAAAGAAATAAATGTACGAGCATTGACAAAATGGGAAAAAAGGAGGGAAGAAAAATGGCTGGATTGTTAAAAAAAAGTGATAGAATGAAAAGAGGAAACGAAAGCAAAGTACAAATAGAATAGATAAAGAAAGAAAAAAACTGCGAAGGAATGGAATAAACATTATAGGGAGGAAAAATGCAATCTAACACAAAATTCAAACAGCTATCAGCCTTGATTTTGCTATCTTCAGTGTGATCTCAAAACTGATTCTAAAGTCAAGTGCAAGTAACAGCATAATCTTCAGCCACAAACAGAGGTCTTGAGTTTATCTCAGGCAGTTAACAAATGAAGGAGCGATCCACAAGATGTTTTAACGACCTAAACGCACTAATTTTTACTTAATTATTTGCTAAACTCCTTGTAATTGTAAAAAAATGCTTGATACAGTGTTCYCWCTATAATTACACTAACTAAACTGAAATTGCCTCGCTATTAGTACAAATTTCTCTGCGGTCTGGACTGAATTGTACAAWRSAWRTGTGTTGTGTTATAATGTCATACAAAACTGAATTATCCAATTTTCCTGTCTATTGGAAATAATTACAGGAAATTTCACCGCTGTCTGAGATGAATTTCAAAGTTCAACCTTTTTSTGTTAATCTAATAACACTGGATCCCAGAATGTTTTAACCATTTTAAGAAAACTAGAAGGATAGATTTCACTGCGGTTATCATGAATGTCAAAGTTCAACCTTCTTGTAGCAAAGAATTGCAGAATTTTCTGTCCAGAATAGAATAGCTAGCACAAATTTCACCGAGGTTGGGTATCTAGATTATATGAATTCCACTAATATCGCGTATCAGCTTTATGGAACTATTTTAACAGTTAGTTAATCAKAAATTTCACGACTCTGATAAAATGTTTTGTTGATAAGCAAGCCACTTAACTAGGTTTCAAGACTGTATGAGATAAGTTAGTTTATGAACTCTTAAACCAAGATAATACGTTTGAAAAGGATTTGTGGAATTTTGTTTAAAGCAATCAAACGTTGAGGAATGCTGAATCAAAACAGACGAACCATTTTTTWAAATGGTAAAAAAGATAAAAGATAGATGCATGTCAGTGAAATAATGTTGGAAGTTCCTGAAGAGGTTAAACGAGGCTGGAATTTGCCCTACGTTTGACTGGGAAAATGGGATTCATTTCTGCACCAGGACTGGGATTTACGAATGCAATAAAAATAGAAACTGGGAATGGGAATGGGATTAGGTGACTTTTGAGTTGAATCTGGTCAAAATAAAAATGGGAGAATGGGATTCAAGACTCGAAGCCCTTCACATACAGTCTCGATATGGACTATTTTKATTGCACTCTTCTCCTCTCAAGTCTCAAGTCCATTTTGTTTATCCTAACTTTTTTTTCGCTTGTAAGCTTGTTTTTTCGATCAACTTGGTACGGACAAGAAGTAGCGTACTAGGGTCGAACGAAAATGTTCATCTTAAACTCCTTCACCGTTGAAAGAAGGTATAAAATCTGAATTCCTTGATGCTATAAAATAATTTTGAAAGAAAACAACTTAAAGTTATCTAAATAACATTGCTTCATGGATTGGTAACTTGTATTTCCCGTGTTGAGAGATGTTCAAATAGTCGAGAATCCCGAACTTCAGTTTATTATGCTTAAGGGAAGATTAATATAACACAGACAAAATGACACGACAAAAAATCATTCGTAAACAATTTAACGACCTCTAGATATCTGCTTTTAATTCACTTTCCATATGTAATCATTTCTAGGATTCATTTTGCAGTCAGCACAATCAAAGGTCGAACTCGGTTTGTCCACCAAAGCTTGGAAGATGTTGAAAGAAACATGTTTGTTTTAGATAATTCAGTTTGATCAATGTCCTAGATTTATGCTCATGAAATTTCTTACATGATATTCTTCGTAAGTTTGCTTACAAAAAAATTGAATGAATCCATGCTCTTTATTGAGTGACTAGACAAGAAAACAATTTAGTATTTACGAAGAGAAGAGATATTAGTGAAAAGGACGGCATTGTTCCACCCTGTTTTGGCAGTACATCTGCCATCCCATATTTACTTCGTAAAGAGTTTGAATATACATCTTTGTAAGAAAACAAATTAAAAGTTGAATACTGATACAGAATAGTTATTATTCTAAGAATGCATTATTGGTCATTCTATTGACGTCCAAAAGGAGATTCGGTGGTTTTAGAGTGACTTTGCCACCTCCGCACTGTCAAAAACTTGAAAATTGATTGCAATAATGCTTTGCACTTGCGGTATATATATAACAGTATTTAAAGAACAGTATACAACGGTTTTAAACAGTTTTAAACGATCAATGGGATGCTCATACCCTTAACGTTATTATATACCCGTAGCACTGATAAAATCATGAAAAACTTCCAGATTTACTTTGTACGGCTTTAATGCAAATTTTCACTGAAAATCTTATCGCGTCAATGCTCGATTAGTGGTTGGGTGGGCCGTATTGTGGTGAAACATGCTTACTATCTGGTGTATGCCACATTTTAGCCATGATTGATAAAAAKATTTGKCGATGTTATTASTCACAGGATCTGATATACGTGTTATAGAGCACGACTTTTGTTAAATGTTGGTTCCTACTCGCGCTATGATTGGTTCTTGTCATTGGTAGAATTAAAAATGGRTGATTTACGAAGTAAGCTTTCCATCTTTTCACATCTTGCAATRTAACTGTGTTCTTCAACATAAGCAGAATTCAAATCCKTTCGATTTTTMAATTTCTGATKATTATCATCACTCGTGATTAGARTGATTTTCAGRCAWGGCCTGGGTCCTACTAGCATTGACRTCCAAACATATGAAATATGACGTGTGAGAGGGGAAAATGAACTCAACAGAATTGTGTCATCACGATTCCCACCGAAAAAGTTGTATCTTGTCAGCAATCGAGGCAATTTCAGCGGTCATAAGGCCCTGTAAGCTAACTGGCAATTGGTCAACACTGCTATAGCGAGGAGAACTGAAATTCCGATCTTATCTCGTAATAATATACGTTTCTTGTATTATTGTGGTAGAGACATTCCTTTCAATATTTGATAACGACTGTTAATCTCGATGACTCTAATTACKCAGTTAAAAAGAGACAATAATAACATATTTTAGCACCCGTCACTTAGCATTTTGGTTTTTCCGTGAGGTTGGCCACCACATGCATGCTGATCTATACACAGTCAGGAAAGACAAGCATGAAACAAAATGGCGGAAAATTCAAGATGGCGGACGTTTCATCATCACTGAGAAACTAAAAAATTGACAACACACTTAAATGTCCAATTATTTTCTTAATTGTTAAGTTTTTTAAACGCAAATCCAGCTTTAGCGTTTTTGGGATAAACATGTGTCACTACAGCTAGTTACAAAAACTCCATTTTTTATTGTTGATGTTAGTAATACCGAGATTTACTAAAGAGAATATTTATTTATCCTAGTTCGACCGACACCGACATCAACGCCATCTACAAATAGACCTACCAACACCACTATACAACCACCACTTCCTGGAAATGGTATTCTAAGACCAGGAAACGTCGACCACGATGAGAAGCGACTAACTAGAGATCTGTTTGCTGGATATGATCCTGGACTGAGACCAGTMTACAGGAAACAGAACAACGTTACGGTAATCCTCGGGATGTCAGCGCATCAGATCATTGACGTGGTAAGTTAAACACTGTTTTTCTTGAATTTTTATTTCAGACRCTGTAGTTATYTTCGTCTCGCAGCTCCTAATAAAAGTTATTGTGGTTGGCCGATCAGAACAAAAGGCTCTTTTCTCTATCGTTCGTTCTATAGTTTCATGCTAGGTTGAACCAACCAATCACCAGCGATGTACTTTGCCCCGTTCATTTATGACGTCATGAGACGATCGGCGAGATGCATTATGGGATTGACGAAAGTGCGATCTTAAGTCAATACATGTTTTGTGTTGCACTATTTTACTACAAGCAGCCTTATATGATGCTTTGACTGTCCCTGGGTATTACAACGTGCAGCCATATGGTTAGATACACGTCTAATAAGTGATCATTTTTCTTCCTCCGTAGCCTTTTAAAACTGCTTTTTACACCTCGTGCAAAGAACATATGACTTCATTAGGGGAACAACAACCTCTTAGTTAGCATTGCCCACACTAGAGAATCATTCTTTATTTTCGTTCTTTTATTT